ATTATGAAAAAGAGGGAAGGTAGGAGACGTCTTGACTCAGAAAAGCTAAAATGTAATGAAACGCATGATGGGCTAGGAACAAGGACAGACGAAATACTAAAGCAGGCAAGAGAAAGGAATGACAGGGACATGGAGACAGAATGGAACTGCATTAAAACGTGCCTAAAGTCAGCAACTACAGATGTATTAGGTCTTAAACAAAACGAAAGTAGGAAACCCTGGATAACAAACGAGATTGTAGGATTAATAGAAGAAAGGCGGAAATACAAACACAGGACAGACGAAGAAGGTCAAAAAAGATATAAGGCTATAAAGTGGGAAACACTTAGGAAGTGTAGGGTAGCTAAGGAACAGTGGATTGATAGGATGTGAAAAGAAGTAGAAGAAAAGTTTGAAGTAGGTAAAACCGATGAGGCGTATAATAGAATTAAAAGAAATTTTAGAGATGTACGATACAGTAGTAATAATATACGAAACGAGGCTGGGGTCATTTTGATAGAAAATGAGGGAAAGGCAGATAGGTGGAAAGAATATTTAGAGAATCTATACGCTATCTATAGTGTGGAGATAGATTAGCTAGGTTTTCCCATAATGAGAGGAGAGTTCGATGTAGTATTAAAAAATTTAAAGAATAATAAAGCGCTAGGTGTAGATAGGATACAGGGGGAAATCCTAAAACATGCAGGACAAGAGGTTAGAGATCGTATGTTTAAGCTAGTTAGTAACATTTACGAGATGGGGAAAGTTCCAGAGGATTATAAACGGAACGTGGTAGTAACCATACCTAAAAGGACTATTAGGGGAAGATCAATTTGAGTTTAGATAGAGGAACGCGGGAGGACATTCTAGCTTTACGGGTAACAGTAGAGAAAATGATGGAAAAAAGAAAGAGTACGTACATAGGATTTGTAGATTTAGCAAAAGCTTTTGAAAATGTTAAATGGGGCAAGATGTTCAATATACTTAAAAATGTAGGGATGAGTTACAAAGACAGAAGAGTGATACTTAGTTTGTATAAAGTGCAACAGGCAGTTATTGTGCTGGGGCTGCAACGTAGAGAACTAAATATTAAGAAAGGAGTCAGACAAGGATCCACAATGTCACCGCTACTTTTTAATGTATACTTATATGGAAGAAGTGATCAACATTATTAACGACAGTACAACTGGGATAGATATACAGGGGCAAAAGATTAGTATGCTTAGATTTGCAGATGATATAGCACAGTAATAATCATAGGTAATTGCAACAAATCCAACCATTTCAAATGTATAGGGAAGGGGAGGGGCCAACCTGCGGCTCGCGAGCCACATGCGGGCGGCTCTTTAAACGATTATTTGTGGCTCTCGATAAATGTACCCTAGTCCCTTTTTCATTTTTGTGCGAAAAACTCAACGAGTATATAAAAAAGCTAGAAGGAATATTAACAAATCCAAAATAGATTTCAAGACTTGAAATATTTTAAATCCTCTCTTGATTTTTTTCTGAATCCATTTGAAATTGACATAATTCAAGGTGAGTTTTCCATTTCCGATATAATTATGACCCAAAAAGCATCTGGACAATTAGAATTAATAGAGATGCAAGAAGATCAAGTTCTACAGTTAAAATATAAGTCGATGTCGATTACTGAATTTTGAAAATTTGTACCAGAATCGAAGCATCCTGAATTAAAAGCTGAGCATAGAAGTGACTTCTTTTTATTGAAGGCGACTCGACCCTGTGCTATCCTCTGCTTTATATCCCTACTACTCCTTCCGTCCTGACTTATCTGACTTCCTAGATACCTAAAATCAGTCACCTCTTCTAATTTTTCGTCTCCTATCTTTATATTCGCTCTTTCCCTACTTTTTCTTCCCTTGCATACCAATATTTTTGTTTTCCTTTTATATATTTTCCTACAGTGCTGTTTTGTCAATACCGCTTCCATTTTATTTAAATCTATCTCTAGAAGATAATAGTAAAGCAGAAATTTCTTGATATGGTTAAGCATCCCATTATGTTACGTTGATTAATATTTTGTTAATTTTTATTTTAAGGACCTATTTGCTGATGTATGCTTGTTGTACAAGGAATATACCGATTCATTTAAAACGTTTTTACCTTCTTCAAAGTAAAAAAAAAGACGCAGATGGCTATAAAAGGTCATGCATTGTACATTTTTGTTTGCATATTTCACGTAGGTCTGCATAATTTTATTAGATCATTGTGCGTCATATGGAACAGTCAAACATAATATGATACACATTCTGTACAGTTCGGCTATTTGCAAACCTTGATGTTGCAAACACTTGTTAACCACAACCTAGACCTATTTACTTACAAAAATTTTTTTTTTCTTGATAAATATGAAATTTCAAGTATAAAATGACGTAACATATTTACTGACTATTTAGATGTTTAATTTAGCAAGAATTAAAAATAAGTGCAGATTTAGGAAGACGTGTTATCATACAGATATTAGGTACTATTATTGCAACAGGCCTCTGCTTCTTCTTCCGTAATTAGGGAAGTTTGGCATACTTTTTTCACATCCGCTTCTGCATCTGATTCCGCATTTTTATAACGGAAGCTTACCGAAACTTTATAAAAAATATAATTATTTCTCATCTTTCTTAAAATCAATTCAAGTCA